CGTCGGTCTTGCTGTTGTAATATGGTTGCTGGTTAAGTATTTATAATACCAACAATAGAGAGCTTATAAGTTTCTCTCTAGTTCACTTGCCTCTATGTGAATGTCTGTGTGAATGGTCTCAGTATATCTCCTGATTCCACATTTGTTCTTGTGCTTTTCATTCCTCTTCTGTTGTGAGAACCCTTAATAAGTAATATGATGTGTGCAGTTTTCACAATTTTACTGTCTTCATAAAGATTAACGAACTGATAGCAAGTAACACGCACAGACAAAAACGTATCTGTAAGATCTGGCACAAAGAAACTTGTCGTTCGCTATATGAAACAATGAACATTTAGTGACATTTGTTAACACTGATTTTCATGTCATCACTGGAAAGAAAACCAATCATGATATGAAAATCAGGGATTGTTTGTTTAATCATCTTTTGAGTTTTGTTTACTCACAACCATTTTCTCCAGCTACTTGATCTTAGCTCGCCGGAGAAGAACCTGGGAATGCTCAAGAGACTATTAACTCTAGTCAAGCCTTCCAACGCCGACCATTCTTCATCCTCCTTAGCGGATATACATTCGGCGAGTGTTGCTTTCTTGGATTCAATCCTGCAACTCGCAGGTGTCTTCTCTTCTTTTATCTCCCAAACTGGTACGATCTCGTCTGATCCGGTTGAAGCCTCTGCCTTCTTGTCACAATCTTTGCTTGATGTGATAGTGACACTCTCTGTAGACTCTTTGTGTGAATGATTAATGGTTTCTGAAACCTCCATGGATGCTGCTGCTGAGGAATCTTCAAGAAAGAGACATACTACAGCGCAATCATCGTTCTTGGAAGTAGGATACTTGAGCCTCCATGCTCGAACTGCTGTGTCGACTAAAGCACGAGCTGCAGTGTTTCGACTATGAGCTGAGGCCACAATATCAACAGCTTCTTTGTTAGACAAAACATCCCATACCTACAATTGCACCCATCGAAACAGACTTTTTAGCAACATAGATATTCGATAGAAAACACCAAGAAGAAGAAAAAGAAAAGTAATGTACCCCGTCAGTGGCTAGAATAATGAACTGATCACTTTCAGTGAGACGACGGTAGTTGATATCCGGAACAGAGATTAGACCGTAATCTTTAAGACAAAAGTCTCCGAAAGCTCGAGCCATTGCCAGACCAGGTGAATCGCTGTTCGGTAGCCACACACGCGCAACCTCAGGCTCATCTTGTAAGGCAAAGACTCTACCTTTACATTTCTGGATTCTTGCTGATTCACCTGAAGTAATTACATATAGAAGAAAGTTAGATTGTGTTTCCAAGATGATCAAATGTAAATGGCTGAAGGGAGAGAGACATACTTGGCAAATCGGGTTTTAAGTCTATAGTCAATTGTACAGCGATCAAATCATTGTCTTGGTCTCTTGTTGCAAGAACGGCTCTCGAATCACCGATATTTCCAACCACCAGATCCTTACCCTATAAAATCAGAGCAGTTAATGTACAGAGCCAACGAGAGAGTAAATAACCCATTGATTGACTGGACTTTCACCTGTTTGATCACAGTGACAGAAGTTGTTCCGCTGCAGAAACAATCGATGGTTGGATGCATTTTCAACTCTTTGTCCATATGTTGACAAGTCTTGAGCAATGCCCGTTTCAGCAAGGGATACATCTCAGGAAGTAGCTCTTCTTCTTTCTGACTCGGCTTTGACTCACACCATTGCTCTCCATCTATGCAAGTAGCAGACTCAAGTCCATTCTTGGAGTAGCTTTGTTCAGCCTCAGAAATCGTTTTCAATTGAGTTGATAATGTGAAAGGTAACATATCTCGAACTCTTTTTGCAACCATATGACCAAACGGACCATGTCCATCGTATACACCACAGAACACAGTATCACTTCTTGAACAGAAATTCTGAAATTTTGACAAGTTGGTTCTAAATTCGTCAAACAATCACACATTTCATTACAGTGAAACCAAACCCTAGAGAAAAA